CGTACCGAGCCACCCCCCAGCACCGAGGTCCTTGGCCCGGGCAGAGGCAAACCGTGTGTTTGCTGCCAAGGTGCAAGAACGAGCCCGTCCCCATTGCCATCCCCAGGCTCGGCAGGGACACTTGGCACCGCGCCGGAGCTGCCAGCACTGACCGGTTTGCGGAAGGGCAGGAGGATCTGGCGCCGGAGGACATGGAAGAAGTTGGCTGGAGTTGAGCAGTTCACGACGATCCAGTTGCAGTCGTAGAGCTGGCGCACGTCGAAGTCATCCAGTTTCTGTCTCGGCGGTCGAGGGGGTTTCAAGAAAACATAAGGACCCTCTTGGCCTGGCAGCTCCAGCAGCAGGGAGAGACCGGTTTGCGGAAGGGCAGGAGGATCTGGCGCCGGAGGACATGGAAGAAGTTGGCTGGAGTTGAGCAGTTCACGACGATCCAGTTGCAGTCGTAGAGCTGGCGCACGTCGAAGTCATCCAGTTTCTGTCTCGGCGGTCGAGGGGGTTTCAAGAAAACATAAGGACCCTCTTGGCCTGGCAGCTCCAGCAGCAGGGAGAGGACGGCACGCAGCCCTCCCTCCCTCCTCTCCACCTCCAGAGCACACAGGGACCCCCAAAGAGCTGGAAGAGGCTGTGGGGCTGTGCCCCCCACCTTGGGACAGCCACAGGGGTGGGCAGCAGCACGCCCCAATGCTGCTCTCGGGGCCATGTCTGCGGCACGCAGATGGAGACACAGCCTAAGCACCGGGTTCAGCCCCTTCCCCCAAAACCTCCTGCGAGCCCAGGACATCCCGCAGCAGCACCTCCTGCTCCCAGTTCAGTGACATCAGCCCCGACCGCAGCATTGTGCTGAGCCCCCCTGGGTGGTTTTCCCCCCCCTCCCCATTTCAAGGCTGCAGTTGGATCTGGGACACAGGAGGGTCGGGCTGAGCTCAGCATGGCCGCCACTCACGGGGAAGACATCGGGATCGTCGTTGCACATCTGCAAGAATCGCTCTGGGCGGGCGGAGGAGTGCTCAGGACCCTGGGGGGACAAAGCAGGGGCAGAGAGTGA